TTTTATATACGAGGTCTGCCCAGAAAGTATCGGGCCTACCTTTATATTTTTGTGCTAGCGTTATTCTTTATCATCTGGTGGGTGGCATCCTTCAAAGTAATCCCCACTTGATTGAATAACATGGTTCCATCGATGTTTCCACTTTTCAAAACAGTCCTGGAACTCACTTTTAGGGATAGCCTTAAGTACACTCGTCGCATTGTTTTCAACCGTTGTTTTGTCATCGAATGATTGTCTGACCTGTTGGTGCATATTCGTGATGTACAACACCTTCACAATCGAAAAAAACAATCAACATTGACTTAACATTGCTCCGACTTTGACGTGCTTTTTTTGGTCTTGGCGATTCAGAATGCTTCCACTGTGAAGATTATTGTTTTGTTTCAGGATCATAACCATAATTCCATGATTCATCACCTGTAATAACTTTTCTAAGCACATTGTCATCATTATTGACCATTTCCAGATTGTCCAGAGCGATTTCTAAGCGAATGTTCTTCTGCTCTGCTGTGAGCAATTTTGAGATGAGTTTCGAACACACGCTTTTCATTCCTAAATTTTCGGTTGGAATTTCTGAAATGATAGTTTTTGGTATCCCAAGGTTTTCTTCTAGTTCTCGGACAGTCATACGACGATCTTGTTCGATTGCAAGTCACACCCGCTCAATATTATCTGCGGTTTTTGTCGTCGAAGGTCGGCCGGAACGAGAATCACTATCGACAGAAGTGCGACCATCCTTGAACCGTTTATACCACTCTTTTATTCGTGTTTTGCTCATACACTCGCTTCCGAATGCCTTTTGCATCATTTCAATAGTTTCTGAACTCGTTTTTCCGAGTTGAAAGCAAAATTTGATGCAAATTCGTTGATCTTGTTTTTCAGTCATTTTTGACAATATCAAAATCCGACGAACGCGAAAAAGGCACTGTAAACAAAGACACGCTGCACATGAACTATACGTCCGGCAGGTGTCAGTAAGTAACTAATAGATTCATGAGACTTTACTGTTGACGTTTCTGTCCGGTAGAGGTCGCTCGAACACTATGGCGCGAAGATATAAACGTAGGCCCGATACTTTCCGGACAGACCTCGTAGATTGACATTATTCAATTTCAAAGTGAATAAAAGTTTCTATAAATTTTAAAAGTAAAAAATAATTAGTTTAAAAGTTATTATTTTAAAAATACGTAAGTATTTTATTCACTTTTTGAACATCTTTTCAGTAATTATTACGTTTCATATAGAATGAATAAATAAACTTTTGTATTTTTGCTTCTTCAAATTAAACTCGATACCGCTCAAGGAGCTCGCCTAGAAAAGATACTGTTTTGTTTCGTCTTGTTTCGAAAATTTATTGTAACGAAAAAAAATTTATAATATTTCTTTTCAAAATTCCTTCATAAATAAAAATATTTAGACCAGTACAGTCTCTTGTTTAGCGATTTCGAGTGTAAGAATACTATCGTAATAGTTACTTATCATTTATTTTGGGCACAACTCCTACACAATAGACCTTATATTTTCACCAGAACAAAAACTGTAACCAATTAAAAAATAATTATTTAAAGCGTGAAATAAATTTTGAACTAATATGAGTTCGCTGAAGGTGCCATGTCTGTTTTCAAAGCGAAAAAACAAGCGATTTTCGGTGACTTTTTTAAAAGAAGTTAAAAACTGTATTTTATTACAGAAAATTGTTGGTTCAAAAGGGTTTATCGAAAAATTATTTTAAAGAAAATGGCGGCCGTTTTATGAAATAACGTGGTTTTTCGAAGTCTCAATTTTTCATTTTGCTTCCTCCCAGAGAAAGCTTTATAATAGTAAAATTTTCAGTTAAAACTTCATAGAAGTAAGTTTGAAGATGTTTGAGGTTGAATCACGCATTTTTAGAAAATGTTTGGGCCTAGCCGGATTTAGTTTAAAAGATATAACGTTTAAAAAGAAGAACCTTTTTGTGAATAACAAAGTTATGGTTATAGCTAATTGTAAGTAAATTTTCTTTTAGTGAAAACATAAGTATTTTATGTTCTTTCAAAAACAATTTATACGATTTAAATATCTTAATTTTTTTCATCTGAAGAATGGAAAAACCGTTTTTCAAAAAACCGAAAATTCACTATAAATCAAAAACGTGTTGATAAAATCAAAATGGATTTTTCACGATACACTGGATAGAAAAACAAAAGTGGATACAAAAATTTATCGATACCCGATGGACAGTTCAAAAATTGTATACGTAAATACATACACACACATCCATACGGAAATTTTCTAAAAACACGTTTTTTGAACTTCAAACGAAGTTTTTTTATGAAGCAGAAAATTTTACTATTACAAAGCTTCTTCTAAGAGGAAGCAAAATTTTGAGACGATGGTTTTTACGATTTTCAAGATATCTTGGTCACCGAAATACCACTTTGAAAAAGACAGGTTTCCTTAACATGACTATAATTCCCTTAATTTACAATATTTTTCAATACCAAAATTCATGAAAGTTTTTGAATATATCTACTTTGGACCTAACAATTTGCTGTAAGCATAAAGACAGTTTTAATTTCTCAAAAAGATTCACGCAAATCGCGTGATTTTTCGCCTTGCGACTATGTCTGTATTTAAAAAAACGGCCAACTTTTATCTGCTATATCTCTAGTTTTAATGCGTCCATTGAGATGCGCCGGGTCTCAAATTACAGGTCTTATAAAGACAAAAAAATGACACGTGGTTGGTTCAAAAATATTGAAAATTGGCCAAGTTACAGTGCTCGGAATATGAGCATCAAATTGACCCTAAAAGCGTACCAATATCGTCAGAGTACACCCGGTAGCTGTCACTTTTTATAAATGAACAATTTTTTTCTTGAAAGTATAAAAGTAGACGAATCAAAGGAGACGTCGCACGTTGAAAAATATTGAAAACTCGCGGATGTACGATTTTTCAAAAATAGCCAAAAACAGGCAGATTTTCAGACTTTGAAAAAATATATATGGACATATATATATTTTAACGAAAATCTGAGATAGCCAAAAGGCTTCTTTTGACATGCTCTATCATAGAAAAAATCGCCGAGAAGATCGGCTGACCCCCCTGCGCAGCCAATTTTAAAAAACTGCTGGAATCACCCATATAAATATATATATATATACATATATATATGCATTTTTACACAGATATAACTCAATTGATTCATTAATCATCAGGACATATAAAATAGTTGAAAATTATTGATGCAATTTGTTAACTTAAAATAAATATCTTACGAATAATAATTTCTTTTGCCATGTTTCTATACACAAACACTTGTTTTGATAGTAGTACAGATACTAGTCAGTATAGTAGCTGACAATGATGAGCGTTTACTAGAGCGCTGCTAACATCACATTCCTTTTTCTATTGTCTCATGCACCTTACAGATCCTACCTTGTGATAAACTCTAAATGTAAACATTGAAATCAAAGCACGTGTATATTTCGAGGATGAGAATCAAAAAATATAATTGAATATTACAAACTAAACCGTCTTAAATTGTAAGTAAGTAAACGATACAATAATTTATAATACTTGGAATTTTCATGATTGCATATCATTTAAAATTGTTATTGTACACACGGAGATATTGATCAAACACAGCGTCGAATTTCGCATCTCGTTTTTCAGCAAGGAATCTATAAAAATATTTCCAAATAAGCTTTGCTAATTAACAAGGATTAGGTTATCAATTACATTGTAAAACTTAAGAGACTCCAAATATTCTTGATCGACTATTTAAAAGAATATTTTCAATTACTTTTATTCACATTGATTTATCACAATTTTTGAATTAATGAATTCGATTTGACAATAATCCAATAATAAAGTGATTATTAATAAAAATCAATTTGAATAATGATATGATATGCCAATTACATTTATGTAACGAATGTAACATTGTTATTGTACACATGGAGATTGATTGCTAAAGTCAGCGCCGAATTTTGCATTTCGTTTTTCAGCAATGAATCTATAGAAATTTTTCAAAATAAGCTCTGCTATTTAACAAATATTATGTGATCAATAACATAGAATATTTGTGAAATCTAAAAGATTTTCAACATTCTTGATCAACCATTTTAAATATTATTTTCCATTATTTTCTTTCATATTGATTTATCACAATTGTTGAATTAATTAATTTTTAATTCGAATATTTGAGAAGTTAATATAACTTAAATTATAATAAAAATGTTGAAAATCAGAATATGTTCGTTTATTTTACAGGCACCATGAAATTGATAAACTTATTGTGAAAGGATCGGGTTTATATGCTGGGAGGAAATCCATGTTGAATGACATACACATGCACGAATTCAATGAAATTCTGAAAGCGTATAGCAATTTTAATATGCAATCGTCGCTATTATTGCAAAAACCTGATTTGATTCAGTATATAGAAAAAGATATTGATTATATACAAATTTTATTTTCAGGAAATTTAAGAATGGGACATTGGATTTGTTTATACAAAAGAAAGGACGTGATTCACATATATGACAGTTTGAATATTTGTGAATTGAATAATTATCATAAAACATACATTAACAGATTATTTCCTTATTATTCTGAATGTACAATTGTTTTTGAAAAAGTACAAAATCAAACCAATATATACGATTGCAGAGTTTTTTCAACCGCATTTGCTGTCAATAATCCATAATCTTTGTCCCTGTTGCCTAACATATGATGTTTCCAAATTAAGATCTCATTTAATTGAAATATACGAAACTCGATATCCAAAGTTATTTCCTATTCTGCATAATCACAATAGACAAAATATTAATAATGAGATTCCATTGTTCCAACTTGATAGAAATATAATACATAATAATTTATTAAACAAATTGGAAATAGACATTAATAAGGCAGAGATAAAATACAAGGAAGAAAGCATACAATCGCAATTAACACAAGAAACAAATAATATTTTGAAGTCGTATAAAAATAATAGTAAGTCTCATGTAGAATTAATGGACATCGATACAACGATTCATCCAGACCATTTTAACACGGACGAGAAAACTGTACATAAAGTAAACAATATTGTTCGCGAAAAAAAAATTATTAATAATTTAGAACATCTCGAAAAAGAAGCATCTCGATTGAGAAATATTCGTAAGAATAACAAAGTTTATTGTGAAAATGAATCTAAACGATTGAGGAACAATCGTAAGAACGATAAATTATATCATGAAAGAGATGCTTTGCGAAAGAGGGAATATCGTAAAAAAAATAAAATAAATCTTCAGAATGAAGCTAACAGATTGAAACAGCTGCGCAGTCGAGATAAAAACTATTGTGTAAACGATAATTTACGAAAAAATAATTACCGACAAAAACTTTCGAAAAATGATCATAAACGATATGTTAAAAATTTTAGTTCTCACATTAGCGCAGTAAAAAAAAATAATATTGAATATGATGAAACAGAGACTACACAATCAAAAGAATTGAAAATTGAACATCATAATAAAGTAAAATCTTCATCGAATAATTTGAACGAAAATTTGAGAAAACGGAATTACGAAGTCGAATTCAGTTTAAGAGAATTATGAATTGTATGTAAGAAATTGAAAATAGATGATATTTTAAATAAAGAGTTCGACACTAATAATCATTCGAATGAAGAAAAATTTGATAAAAAAGTGATGAAAAAAGTCGTAAGATATAATGAGAAAATTCTAAACACAATATGTAAATCGAACATGATAGGACGATTAGGAAATGTCAAATTTGATGAAAATAATGTAATTGAAAGTTATTTGGGTCCAATGAGTGAACAATGTCGACATTGCAATTATTTACATTTCAAATTCGAATACACTAACGATAAAAATTTTTCTAACTGTTGTCATAAAGGAAAAATAGAATTACCGGAAAATCCAAAATATCCGGAAGAGTTGCAGGAATTGGCAACGGGATCCTCAAAAGATAGTAATGAATACCGAAAAAATATCCGTGTGTATAATAATCTTTGTGCATTCGCAAGTTTTGGGGCAAATTTCGCTAAACTAAGGGGTAATGGTCCCCAAATCATACGAATTTGTGGGCAGATATACCATAACGTATATGCTTTACATCCGAAAATGAATCACGAAAATACGGACAATTATATGTTTTAGACAATGAAATTGCAACTGCTGAACGGAAGAATATGATATGCGATATTGACCACGAATTATTACGTAAGTTAGGAGATATACTAAAAAAAAAAATCCATATGCTGAAGCATATAAAATGATGTACGATGTCGAAAAATCTGAAATAGAAAAATCTTTAAAGGCCGGTATAGCAACAACACAAGTTACAATGGCAATTCAAAGACATAATATGTTAGATAAGAATCGTTATAATGAAGCTAGTAGTAACGAAGTTGCCATGATTTTTGTCGGAGAAAACGGACAATCACCAAAAGAATGAGATATTATGGTTTATTCAAAATATGATAAACCAATCCCATCAATCAGTAAACATACGGATCCGATGACATATCCGCTGATATATCCAAATGGTGGTTACGGTTGGATGTCACGTATGAAGGCCAATTTTGGTAAAAATTATATATCAAATCTACAATTTTATAATTACAGATTAAGTGTAAGAAATGGATTCAACCCCCATCTAAATCTTGGTAGAATAAGTCAGCAAGCGATCGTTGATGCATTCGTAAAAGTAGAAGGATCAAGATTGTATTTTATAAGGAAAAACCAAGATACACATAGAACAGAATGTTATAGTGGTGTGATGGATTATTTGAATAAAAAATCTAATCATGATAATACGAAAATTGGCAAAATGGTCATATTGCCTGTGACGAGAGCAAGCAGTACGCTTGCTCTTCGTCTGCCCTTCTTCTCTCTCTCCCTCTTATCGCTCGGCATGGCGACGTGGTCAGCGTTCGGCGCATATATTTATTGCGCCTAACCACTGGCCTTTATGTTTTTCCAGCCGCCGAAGATTGCCGAGCAAGATTGAGAGCGCCCGAAGAAACAAGAGCGCAGCGACTATGAGGTAGAGAGAGACAGAGAGAGAGAGAGAGAGACAGAGAGAGAGAGTGAGAAAGAGAGAGAGAGAGAAAGAGAGTATTAGGCCTGTGCAGGGATTGGCAGGCGCGCAACGCGTGACCGATAAGCGACGCGTCGCGTGCCGCCTAACTAATAGGTCAAGGTAGGGAGAGGAGCGAGCGTCGCAGAGCGACTGCAAGATGCGCGCAAGAATTAGTGCGTGAGAGAGTCGCAGCCGAGCCTTACTAGAGTGAGGTAGTTCCCGAAAGAAAGTTGAGGAGAGAAGTTGGAAGTAGCAGCGCAATGAGAGAAGAAGTACACGAGCAGCAGTGACCAGACCAGGGCGAGCCGACGCAACATGTGGAGGCAACACCTGCAGCAGGGCATTCAGTGTCGCCCTCGCTGCCATGCACGGCATGACTTCCAGGGGATTCACCACGGGCTATGCCGAGGAAGACATCCAGCCAGCGGCCAGGTCAACTCCCCGTTGCCGGCTCATCGCCAAGGACAAAGGTCAGGTTATCTCTCTCCCCCGGTGTTTCTCTCTCTCATGGTGATGCGCGGCCGCGTAGGAACGATAGGTAGCCAGGCGATCACTTGCCGGCTACGCTCATCGTAATGCGGTAGAGAGGTTTCAACGTATTCTTTCCTTTGTAAGGAGGTAAATGGCCAAGGCGATTTAGTCGCCGGGCCATTCGTCCTCCCGCGTTAGTTTAAGTTGTTCTGTATATGTGCGCGTGATGTAAACGTTATTGTAACTGATTTTGTATTTGTTTGTCTGAATAGATTTAAGTTGTACGTTCCAAGCAAAGAAAATTATTTATTCGTTCGACCTATCCTCTCGTTCCCCGATTGTTAAAGAGCGAAAGTGCCTCTCTTACTCTCCCCTTAATAAATTAGTGACGTCAGTGCCGAATAAGGCGCTGCCCCCGTTACATGCCTTCAAATTTCACAGGGGGACATAGGTATAGGAAACAGAATTATATTGATTCAATGACTATTGTAACTCACTACGGAAAACCTGATTTATTCATAACTATGACATGTAATCCGAAGTGGAAAGAAATCACTGATAATTTAAAGAAATATGAGACTGCTACTGATCGACCAGACCTAATTGCTAAGGTATTTCAACAAAAAGTTGTTGAACTTAAAAATGAAGTGTTGACAAAAGGAGTTTTAGGAAGAAGTATTGCTCAATACTTACGTTATTGAATTTCATAAACGTGGGCTTCCTCATATGCACATGTTGTTATTTTTAGATAAAAAAGATAAGTTTACAACACCAGAAAACGTGGATGACATAATCAGTGCAGAGGTACCGAATAAAGATATTTATCCCAAATTATATCACTTGGTGAAACATTTCATGATACATGGTCCTTGTGGGGAACAAAATCATAATTCACCGTGCATGGACGATAAAAAAGGTTGTACAAAAAATTATCCAAAGAACTTCATTTCTTCAACTAAAATTCAGTCAAATATCCAGTCTGGAATATCCATTACACGATACATCACATGTGATACATCGTTTAGCTGTACATGAAGAAAATCAACAGAACGTATATTTTAAGGAAGGAAAAAAAAAATCAATTTTTGAAAGAAATGTAGAGACAACATTGACTGCTTATTTTAAATTGAATATGACAGATCCGAAAGCTCGAGAATATTTGTATTCTGATATACCAAAGCATTATGTTTTCGATCAAACATCTAAAGAGTATAAGAAGAGGAAAAAAATAAAAAAACCTGTACTCAGCAGAATGTATTTAGTTAATGTAAAAGATCGTGAAAGATATTTCATGAGATTATTACTTCTACATGTTAAAGGAGCAAGATCATTCCAAGAACTTCGCACAGTAGACAATATTCTTCACGATACATTTTATGAAGCAGCAAAAGCAAAAAATTTAGTCAAGGAAGATGAGGTGTTTGATCGGTGTTTGAAAGAAGCATGCTCTGTAAAATTTCCTCATGTAATATGTGAATTATTTGCAATGATTTGTGTCTTTCACAATCTGATCAATGTTCGCGAATTATATGAGAAATATAAAAAGTATTTATATCATCCTAGATATGAAGCAGAAGTTGAAGATAACATGGCATTGCAATTGATAGAAAAATATTTTATAATGAACGGCTATACTTTAGCGGATTTCAATTTACCTGAAATCACATCAGTAATGAATCACGAAACTGAAGAGGCAAATCTAAATAATTGTAATGATTATAGAATAGAAGAGTTACAAATACGAGTCAATTCGCTAAAAAAGGAACAGAGAAAAATTTTTGAGAAAATATTGAATTGCATACAGAATATAGAAAAAAATAAATGTTTATTTATTGACGGACCAAGTGGGAAGAGTTACCTTTTAAATGTAATTATAGATTATTTAGAATTTAATAAGATAAATTATGTTTGTGTTGCATGGACAGGAATAGCTGCAAACTTGTTAAAAAATGGAAGAACCGTCCATACGACCTTTAAGTTACCGCTGAATATTACAGAAAGTACAACATGTAATATCAAACATAATTCGATTGATGGTAAATTGATGAAAGAAATAAAAGTTATAATTTGGGATGAAATATCAATGACTTCTAAATACGCTTTCGAAGCAGTAGATCGATTAATGAGAGACATCAATGACAACAATGAACAATTTGGCGGTAAAACCGTCATTGTTTTTGGGGATTTTCGACAAATATTGCCAGTTGTTAGATACGGTAATCGTACAGATATTATAGAAAACTGTATCAAATACAGCAATATATGGAAAAAATTTTCTAATATGACTCTCACCGAGAATTTAAGAGTTAAAGAAAATGATGAAGATTTCAAAAGGTGGTTATTAAATGTTGGAGAGGGATAGAATAGAGATTCATTTGAAGAAGATCATGAATTATTAGAAATTCCAAACTGTATGATATCGGAAGAAGAAAATATTATTTAAACTATATTTGGTAAAGAAATGAAATTTAATAACTTACAAGTAAACGACAAAGTAATTTTGGCGCCTACAAATAATGATGTGATAAATATCAACAATGAAATTTTAGATATGATGGAAGGTGAATGTCACGAATATCTAAGTTTAGATACTGCAGAAGATGATAATGGAGATAATTTAGATGTTATGTTACCGATTGAGTTCCTTAATTCATTAACTTCAAATGGATTACCACCTCATCGTTTGAAATTAAAAGTGGGTGCTGCAATAATACTGTTGAGAAATCTCAATTTGAATGAAGGACTTTGTAATGGAACACGTTTAATAATAGAGAAACTTCATAAACATAGTATCCAAGGAAAAATAACTTGTGGAAATAATATTGGAAAAGTTGTTCTTATACCACGAATAACTATATCACCTTCAAAAGAAGATGTACCATTCAATATGAGTCGTAGACAGTTTCTAGTTCGATTAGGTTTCGCAATGACTATTAATAAATCACAAGGACAATCCTACGATCGAGTTGGAGTTTATTTACCAACTCCGGTGTTCAGTCATGGACAATTATACGTTGCATTATCTAGAGCAAGGAAT